TACAAATAATCGATATAAATTTTGAAAATATGTAATATTTAAAAAATCTTGTATTGATCCCGTATAGGAATTTCCACATGAGCTATTTTTGTAAAAATGAATGTATCTTGAGTTCCCAAAATCAGATTGATACGATTCAAGTATTGTTGTAAAGATAAGAGACATCAAGCTGTATCTCTAAATAGACATGTCGACCAAAAAAACACTTAGATCCCATTAAAAAATTCGTTGCAAGTTTGTTGCTGCTCTGGTATTCTTTTCCAAGGCTTGAACGTGTGGATTAATTGGAAGAGTTAGACCATCTTCCTTGGATATGAGACTTATTATACATGTATCACTTAATATGTGAAGGTAAGGGTTTAAACTCTAAAGTGGGTGGATCCACAAGTGAGGGTTTGGGAGGAGTAAATTCAGTAAAATCCAAGGGTTCAAATTGCGTACCTAGTTTAGCTATAAGTAGGCTAGACTGTTGTAGTTCCCTTCGAGATTCCTCAACCTCATTATCATCTTCTTCATTAAGCTTCAAGTACTTATCAATTTGCAAAAAATTGTTGCAACAAAAATCTATAACTTCCTATTCTATAATGGAATCCACATCTTGAAGGAGTTGACACTCTTTAGAATCATATGCATATTTGAGGGTGTTGAAGATATCGATAGTCACCTTTTGGTAATCTATTCTCATGGTGAACTCACCCTTTTCGTAATAAATTTGAATTTGTGTAGTAGCTAGAAAAGGCCTCCCGAAAATGATGGGTGCATTATTATCTACCTCACAATCTAAGATAAAGACATAATTGGGATCGGTCTACCAATTGAAATATAAATGTGGTAGGCTTTGCATCTCCCATACCAAGCTTCATAAATGAAGCCTTAATGGTTGTAATAAAACCTTGGAAAATAGCTTCCAAAGAGTTAGAGTTTGATTAAGATGATGAACCCTTGTTCTTTTGCCATGGTATATTCTATTAAAATCCTAAGGGTTCATTCATGTTATGTTATCGAATAGAAATACTGGTGTTTTTGTTAATTCCTTTATTTCCCCATGAAAAATTAGGAGCTCGACATCCTGGTTTGAAAGTGTTCGAATAGCGTTCGTTGTTTGTATTGTAATTCCCAACAAGTTTCTTGACTTGTGATTTTTGGGGCATTCACTAACACGGTGAGTTCCATTGCAAAGAACACAATAAGAGCTTGCAACCTTCCCTTCCTTAACTTCACTTGGCTATTAAAGATTCTTCAACATATTGGTAATAGTCGATAATTGAGCTGAGACATAGTCTTTGGCATCAAGATCAAAGGTTCCTTGAGTCTTCCACCCCATTCCTAGTCTCAAAAAGGGAATTAAAAATCGTTATTTGCAATCCATGGTTCGTGCACTTGCGTAATAGACCTTTGTATTTATCCCAACACTTATACGTAGACTCGTCATCATATTAATGAAATGAAACAATATCATTCCTAAGCTGAGTGTTCATGTTGGGTATATTATAGCCAAGTAAAAAGCTCTTGCATAAATTTTTCCATGATTGCATTGAGCCTAGAGGTACTCCACTTAACCATGCTATTTCTCGTTCACGCAAAGAATAATGAAATAACTTAAGCTTCAACACATCCTCATACACTCGTTTTTGTTTAAAGGAGTCATACACTTCTAAGAATGCACGGATATGTTGCCTAACGTCTTCATGAGTTGCACCATCAAACTGCCCAATAGAGTTAAACATGTTAAACATAATCGATTTGAGCTCGAAGTGGGCTTCCTGAATCTCTTGAGCTACGATGCATGGGTTGAGATCGTCCAAAATAGGAGCTAAATGATCTATAGTAGGTCATGGTTGAACTAAAACTCCATCATTGTGAATTGCTCCAACATTAGGATCTTCGGGATCTTCAACTTGATTTTAACATCTGCTATTCTTGGTTCTTTGAGCACGTTGATAACTTTCCAAAAGAGTTATCCTTTTAGCACTTTATACCTAGGTTTAACTTGAAATCAAGTATGTTTAAAAGCATTTTATGTTTAGTTTAGTCTTATTTTCATATATTTTGTATTGTTTAAATTTCGGTTAACTTGAACTAATTTTTGGATTTTTCTTCTAAAAAAAGTGCAGATGCTACAGGGAATAAGCAAATGCTAAAGTAACTACTGACTCACTAGGCTGGACAGAACCTTCTGGATCAAGGACAGTTGGCTAGGACAATTGTATTTCCTCTAACCAACTGCTGTTACATGGAGAAACTTCTTTGGAGAAAATTTTGACCTCCTTCACCTATAAATAAGACCTCCCTCGGCTCATTTAATCATCAATTCTTCATTTTCTCTTCTTCCACACAAATTCTCTCGACTCTCCTCCATGGCCGTCTAAGCTACAGTGAGGGGGAAATACTATAGCATCTGGGATCAGTCCTCACTGAGTAGTATTGATAATCAGCTAGATCATTCATCTACTTAGACTTTTCCTAAGATAGGGAAGTTTAGCTTGTTGATTTATATATTTGGGATGTTGAATGTTTCAAACTTAGTCATTTGAGTGGAACCCTTGTTTATATGAATGATGTCTAATATACTCTTTGTGACTTATGCTTTATGAATGGTGAAAGAGATTTCATTGTTTAATGTATTATGTTATTTTATTTAGTGATGAATTGAATGATTTGTATACTAATTTCGTGGCTTTAGTATTGTGAGAAGAAAATGCATGCTGAGATGTATGCTGCCAAATGTTTAGCATCATTACTGTGTGACAGTTTTTCTTTGTGAGAGCTAATTCATATTAATCCTTTTATAGTGATTAATGATAAATACATTGTAGTTAATTTGATTACATGAATTGAACTAGGAATCCCTTTTACCACCCCATTCCATTTGATTTCTGACTTTGTGTTGAATCCATTGTTGTAGTATGACTTTGCATCTATTCCATTATATTTTCTCTTTTAATACTTGTTTTCTTCACATGCAATTTCAGCCAACATTTATTCCCCTAATTACTCTTTGTGGGTTCGACATTCAAAATCCCAAAATGATTTTCACTTTATTACTTTGGTATAATAGTGTATGTATGCAATGTGTATAGCCTTTTCTAGAGAATCAAGTTTTGGTGTCGTTGCTAGGGGCAACTGATAACATTTGAGTTTTGTTTTATTTTAGTAACTCTTTTCTTTTCTCTTTGTATGTACTTTTTCTATTGTATATCCGATAGTGACGACTTAAAACCATTTGATCAAATTGAGATAGCCTTTAGATGTCATCGATGAGAAACTAATCGAAATTGAATTCAAATAGGTGACAAACCACATGATGTTTTACCACCACTATAGCATGCTAAAGGAGAAATACCACTCATTGTTATAGCTACAGACCTATCAAGGGACACGTCGTCCCTGCATTAGATGATTTGCATCCTAGAATAGTGCGACAAGCCACCCAAGCTGCTAAATTTGAGCTAAAACCAAAGATGTTCCAAGTGTTGTAGTCTATGGGGAAATATAGTGCCTCGTTCACCGATGATCCAAGAGTACACCTTAGAGCATTCATGGAGTTGTGTGATTCCTTCGAACAGTAAGGAATTCCTCAAGAAGCACTAAACCTGAAGCTTTTTCCATATTCGTTGCACGAAAAAGCTAGATCCTGGGTCAATTCACTGCCACAAGGTGGTATATCATCCTGGAATGAACTCACTCAAAAAATTTTATTGCGCCTTAATCCTCCTAATACGAACGCAAAGCTGAGGAATGAACTTAACTCTTTCAAGCAACTTGAAGACCAAAATCTATATGAAACTTGGGAGCACTTCAACGAGTTACTACGAAAGTGATCGACACATAGATTTCCCCTTTGGACACAAATGGAGATGTTTTATAATGGGCTGAATATGCATACTCGCATGGTGGTTGATGCTTCAACAAATGGAGCACTGCTGGATAAGTCGTACAATGAAGCATATGACATATTGGAGAGAATTTACAATAACGACTCTCAATAACCAAATATGAGGAAAAAGTTTGGCAAATGTAATGCTGCAGTACCAGACACTGACGTGCTGAACTTAATGATGTCTCAAATCACAACTTTGACGGATATGGTAAATAAACTGCAAGGTTCAGGTGGCATGTATGAGCTAAAAAATATTTCTACCCCTCTTGTGTTTATTGTGGAGATGCACATAATTATGAAGAATGTCGACAAAACCCTAAAAAATATTTATTTTTTAAGAAATTTCAATAGGGGAGAAAAATTCCAATACGTACAATGCCAACTACTGCAACCACCCCAATTTGTCATGGATGAGCCAAAATGTTGATAATCTAAATGTTGTTTAGTACAATTTTGGAAACCAACAACATCATTTCAATCAACATCCAACTATGACATATCATGAGCAACCAGTACAACCTCAACAAAGGTATATTTATCAAGGGTAAAACTCCAATCAAACGCCTCTTGATTCCCTAATAAATGAGTACATTTTGAGAAATGAAGCAACACATCAAAGGAATGAAGCCTTAATTAAAATCCAATCAGCATATTTGAGAGAACTAGAGAACCAAGTGGGTCAGCTAGCCAAAGCCTTAAGCAACAGGCAACTAGGAATGTTGTCCAACGATATCGAAGTTCGTAAAGCTTATGGGAAGGCTCATTGGAAAACCATCATGATAAGGAGTAGAATCCATATTGGGACACCTTATGCTAAGAACAAGAAGAAAGATGATGAGAAGCAACTTATGGATAAGGGGTAACACAAGATACATATACTCTAGATATTACAGCAATGGATTCTGGACAAAGAATCAATTCAGGAGTAATACCTGAAGCATCACCACCACTAATACCTCCTATCACACCTATGATACCATAACCAACCCATAATCAATCAACTATAAGACCTCCTCCTCTATTTCCTCAATGTTTTAAAAAGACCAATGATGATCAATAATTTAAAGCATTCATAGATGTACTTCACCAACTAACCATCAACATTTCATTCTTAGATGCTATGGAGCAGAACCCCAACTACATCAAATTCATGCATGAAGTGCTATACAGGAACAAAAGGCTAGGTGAGTTCAAAACTGTTACGCTGACTGAAGGTTGCAGTGCTATGGCCACAAGCAGACTGCCGCCAAAGCTCAAAGAACCAGGGATCTTAACTATCCCCTATAGCATTGGTGACCAGTTTGTTGGTAAAGCTTTATACCTCTTTTGTGTCAGCATTAACTTAATGACCTTGTCTATTTTTAGAAAATTTGGAAGTGGAGATGGAAGACCAACAACTATAATGCTATGGCTTGCTAAACGGTCCACTGTAGATCCAAGTGGAATAACGAAAAATATGCTGGTTAGAGTGGATAAGTTCATATTCCAGTTGACTTTATTATACTCGACTGCGAAGCTAAAAAAGTTCAATATCTTTGGAAAATCCTTTCTTTCTACAGGGCAAGAACTAATCGATGTAGAAAAGGAAGAACTCACTATGCGTTTAAATGATGAATACATTACTTTCAATGTTTTGAAAAATGTTTCTTATATGGATGATATTGTTAAGTGTAATAGTATTGATGCTTTTGATGTTTCTGTACATGAGCATTTAGATGAAAACTACAACATCAAAATTGTTAAATCTAATGTTATAATAATTGAAGAAATTGAGGAAAATGAGGAAGGAAATGTCATGCAACACTTTGAGTTATTGGACCTTCATGATCAATTGATTCAAGCCCCAAAGACATTCATAGAAGAACCACCTAAGCATGAGCTTAAACCCTTACCCAACCATTTGAGATATGTTTTTCTTAGAGAAAATGATACTTTTACAGTCATTATTGTAGCAAATGTTTATAGCATCTCAAGATGATAGTCTAATTTTTGTGTTGAAACAACATAAGAAGGCTATTACATGGAGCATCGTTGACATAAAGGGGATTAATCCAACATTTTTCATGCATAAAATTCTCTTACAAGATCCGAGTAGTAGTTCTATTGAGCAACAAATATGGCTAAACCCAATTATGAAATAAGTACTTCAAAAAGAAGTCATAAAATAGTTGGATGATGAGTCATAAACCTTATTTATGATAGCAATTGGGTGAGCCTGGTGCAATGTGTTCCTAATAAGGGAGGAATCGTCTTAGTTGCAAATGAGAAGAATGTTGGTTCCCATAAGAACAACTACAAACTAGAGAATTTGTATGGACTACCACAAGCTGAATAAAGCTACAAATAGTGATAACTTTTCGCTCCCATTTATTGAACAAATGCTGGACAGACTTCCTTGAAAGGCTTTTTATTGTTTCCTTGATGGGTTTTGCGGCTACAACCAGATTGCTATATCCCTTGAAGATCAAGGTAAAACAACCTTCACTTGTCCTTATGGAACTTTTTCTTTTCGAACAATGACATTCAGATTACGCAATGTTCCAACAACATTCCAGCGATGCATAATGGCTATATTATCTGATATGATTGAAGATTGCTTGGAAATTTTGATGGATGACTTTTCTATTTTCGGGCAAGATTTTGAGCAAAGTATTTCCAACTTAGCAACTATTTTGAAGAGATGTGAAGAGACCAATCTTGTAATGAATTGGGAAAATACCATTTCATGGTAACCTAAGACATATTGTAGGGGCATCGCATTTCTCAAAGAGGAATTAAAGTGCATAGAGCCAATGTCGAAGCCATTGAGAAATTACCTCCACCTTTAAATGTAAGAGTCGTTAGATGGTTTCTAGGGTATGTGTGTTTTTATCATAAGCTCATTAAGAATTTCTCACAATTAGCCAAACTGTTCTATTCATTGCTGGAGAAAAAAAAGAAATTCTTGGTTGATTCTTAAGTTCTTAAATCTTTAGATACATCAAATACAACCTGACTAAAACCCCTATTGTTGTAACACTAGATTAAAATTTACGTTTTGAATTGATTTGTGATGCTAGCGACTTTACTGTTGGAGGAGTGTTGGGAAAATGCAAGGAGCGAGTCTTCCATGCTATATATAATGCTAGCAGGACATTAAATGAGGCTCGGGTAAACTACACCACAACTGAAAAGGAATTAATGGTTATGGTACTTGGTTGGAACCAAGGTCATACTCTATATCGACCATTCAACTTTGAAACATTTGTTTGCTAAGAAGGACACCAAACTGAGACTGATTAGTTGAGTGATATTACTGTCGGAACGATCCTTAAGCTTTTTAGGGCTACGGCGGGGAGCAATCCAACTTAATATTGGAGAAGGTTGGGTTTTTAAATAAATGCATAAATAAACGGATTTGGAGTCACCATCGACATATGGGTTATAGGTTGAATACCTAAAAATTCCTTTTAAAATAATTTTAAGAAACATAATTGATCGCTTATAAATGTATATGCTAAGGCAAGCAAATATGTGCAAGTGTACACAGTCAGATCAAGTAATAAAGGGTAAGTGAGTTATCGTCTCCTCAGGGATTGGTAGGGGTTTTGATGTTTCGCCATAACTAGAACTAGGTGTCATGAGCTAGTCCCTGAATTCTTATCAAAATAGAGAAATAATTAGTAATGGGTTGTATGAATAGGTGTCAAAGCGTTGCTAAAGCAAGAGAATATTATGAAGTGTGGTTGTAGAAAAGTTGTGTCGAGGAAACAAATATGCAAAAGTTACAAATAAAAATAAACCGGGTAAATAAAAACATTGATTCAAATATATTCAGAATAACCTCACATATTTAGACTTTTCATAGAGCACATTGGTTGGTCTTGCTATGGAAAATTATTTTAAGCCTTGAAGGATTTGTTATGATATGCTTAGGCTACTCGACAGGATTACTATAATATTCTAAGACGGTTGCTATGGCAATACTACTAGGCGTAAGCTACAACCCATTTTTGTCAGACTATTGTTGTGGAAATACCCCTCAGCGTGAATTATAGTCGTTGTCTATCCTACTCAAGTGTTTATCCCTTTTAGTCGATTGAAACCCTCTCCTTATCTCTAAGGTATATAGGTTAGAACATCATCATCCCAGATCTATTTCTTTGTTCACGTAGATCTATCTTAATTCTCTCAAATCTAAGAATCAATTTCTAGAATAACGATAATCTCTCTAAAGCTCTTACAAAGTCTAGAAATGTTTCGTCTAGGCACCAGGCAATCTCTTGAAAGCTCTTAGAGTGTCAAGGTAAAATATGAAAATAATGAACAAAACAATCTTAAGGAAAATCATAATGCATCATTCCTAAACCATTAAATAATCATCTCGGCAAAACAAAAACCAACACCAAGCAAAGCAAATCATGGTGTTGCTATAGTATCATCCAAGAGTATCATCGTTTAATACACGCCCAAAAATAGATGAAATAAATTAAAAACAAAGGAAGAACGACTCCAAAACAGGGGCTCTACCATGATAGCTCTGACCAGCACCGCGCCTACTCTAGTGACCAGCCTCTCTCGAGGCCTGACTGCCGCTCTGCTATAGCCTTGCTATGGAGGGCACCAAGGATGCTCGGGTTTTGAGAACGATCGAAGGTAAGGTATTGCAGCTCCTTACTCCATGCCTAAGGTAAATCTTCTTCTTCATTGCCTCTTGTTTTTGGCGTATATGGCTGGGTATTTATAATGGGAATTCCTAGGGTTTTATGTAATTGAATATTCCTTAAATACCCATGTTGACTTGTTCATACTATAGATAGAAAGGCGACTGGATATGGTCGGATTCTTGGAGGGCTTCATTGCACGTGAGGTCAGTCATACAGCTGGCAGGTGACATCAGCAGTTCGTCAGATTCGCTTTAGACATGCAAGATAAATCCTGCCTTGGCAAGAAAAAATTATTCCTCATTGTCTTATTCTTTTTTGTTCCACTGGCCCTTGCGAAATATTTTGTCACGTCTGAAATATTCTTCCTAAGTCATTTCTTATGCACACATGACCCATAAAAGCCTTTTCTCTTCAGCAACATTAGTTAAGCCAAATAAATATTGCCTAGGCAAAACTTATCCACTACATGCAAATATGACCTAAATGCAACTAATATGCTATGACAACAATGTTTAGACAAACAATAACTTAAGTAAAAACACTAATAATAGAGTCTTTTTACGGAGTTATCACACTTCCAAACTTAAGCTATTATTTGTCTTCAAGAAATGGATAACAATTTGTAGAAAAATTAAAATTGTCATGGAAAATTAATATTAAGACAATAATAAGTGGTTTAAAATTTCAGCCCTCAACAAGAAGTTTAGCCTCAACATGCTAGATTGTAATATAAGCCAAGTACCTTCCTAAGTCAGGATTCTTTGCCAGTGTATGTGCGTGATTGTACTCAGTCTATGCATTAACGTATTTAGAAAACTTCAAGTAAGTACTTTAGTTTTGGCAAGGAATCAAATTATTCATCAAGCACAATTTCCAGTTCTATTTATTCCTTTTTTTATAGTTTTGAGGGGAATCAGCTCATCACACATACCCTTACAAACTCTAAGTGAAAGGGAGCATAGCTTGCACCCCCGAGCTAGTCAGGTAGAGTCATCCCGCGATTGCTTTCATTCACTCATATGCCTAGGCAACCATTTATTTTTAAGGAGTTTCCCGATCATGCATTACACAGAGGAGTGTCCCTTTATCTCAATAAAATTTAAACACTAATAAGTTCAACTTTAAGCTTTACATTTCTTCAATGTCACGACGTGCAGAAAGATCTTTCATAAAAATTTACTAAGCACCTTAAGCAGAGAAAGCATACAATCGTGTTTACAAGTTCATAAATAATCAAGCCTAAGGTCGGTTCCATTCTTCAACAATCATGTAAAATAGTTATGGTCTAGGAAATAAAATCATGCTTTCATCATCGAGCATCCTTAATTCATTCCAAACAATAGTATAAACATGTTCATGCCATGACAACCAAATTTTTTAACCAATTATCATCAATTGTTATTAACTAAGTGTGAGACACAACACCTCCCCAAACTTGAGGGATGCATTGTTCTCAATGCATGAAAAATAAAAACAAACTACATTAATCTAAATGTAAATGCAAATGCAAAGGGAAAAAATTTACCTTACTGTGGTGGGAGGCTTTGCTTGTCACACGTGTTCTGCGTTTCTTTGGAGGAGGGGGCTCTCGGATCTATTATCTCCCAATGGAATCAGAGAGGGAGATGGCTGAAGGACAGGACCAGTTGTTCGCTTAATGCGCTACCCCTTGCTCAGGGCACAAGCTGTTGCTAATCGTTATTTATTGTGGGTGGGCTATGCAGGTGTTGCTTGAGACTGTTGATGCTGGAAGTGTTGATGTTCTGTATTATTCTGTTGTGGCCTATTATAATTGTTTGTATGATTGTTGTTGTTAGTTCCTTTATTACCCCATACAAAATTTTGATGTTGTCGCCATCCAAGATTTTATGTATTAGAATAGGGATTCTTGTTGCTTCTGTTAGAGTTTCCCAAGAAATTAATGGATTCTTGGTTTTTTGGACATTCACTATCGAGATGATTCCTGCGACAAAGAATACATGCATCACTAGTTGCCTTGACTTCTCTCAACTCATAAGAACGCTGCAAAATTTTCAACATATTAGTTATGGCTGAAAGTTGAGCAGAGACTAAATCCTTACCCTCAATTTTGTATGCTCCAGATACTTTTCTACCGGTCCCCAGCCTTGTAGTCAGGAATTGATAGACATTATTCGCTATCTTGTTAAGGATATCGAAGGCTTCCTCAAGTGATTTATCAAGTAAAGTGCCATTCGCTGAGGCATCCAACATCATTCGAGTAGGTGCATTGACTCCATTATAAAACATCAAGACTTGATTCCATTCATGGAATCCCTGGTTCACGTACTTACGAAGCAAACTTTTATATATG